TTCAAAATTTCCATTTACATAAAGGCTCGTGATGCCAATTACCTTTTTCATCTACCATTTCACAGTCATCCAACGTGGTTAGAATGTTGCTTACAGCACGGTTCTGGCTCTTCTTTAGTGCTGACAATATGCGTGGCTTCTTTATCTCCCAAAGTTCGCGTATATCTTTGGCAATACCTGGATTTCCTTGTATCCGGGCTAATTCTGCCTTAATCTATATAATAATTTCAAAAATAAATATTATAGCGACACTAATATGGAGTATTAAAATGATGCAAAGGTTGCTAAAAAGGTACATAATTTGATTAAGTTCTCGTAGTTCTTGTTATATTTTAGGTGGTTCTATAGTACCAGAGGGTGATGTTTTATGTGTACAGTATGGTACATACAATTTTAGACCAAACCACAAACATTGTGAAAAATACAACTTAGTCCTTCGACAGAAATTGAACCTCCCTGCATGCCTCTGTCATTGCACAGCACATAAAATGGAATTACCTAAATTTTTCTCAAAGTTCCAGGTTTGTCGAAAACGCACAAATCACTTGTAAGTAATTTCTCTGCGTGATAAGTGCTGTGTTATAAAACATAACATTGATGTGCTAGAAATGGTCATAAAACCTTAACGTGTAATTTGAAATGATGTACATCACTTAGCAAAATAAGTTAATATACCTGAATCCCTTTGTCATCTTTAAGGAAAGGATAATCCTGGAGCAGCTTAAAAACACGTGTATTCTCTAAAAGAACATCCCTCCTTCGCTTTGGATATGTGTTGTCCATCAATACTTTCACCTGGACAGAATCTCGTGATCCCTTTCGGAACATTTCAACCAACTTTTGTCTCTGTATTTCCAATGTTTCATTTGTTCCTCCGTCAGGAATGAAAGGAACAGTGTTGTTTTTCCCTTGCTTCTTCTTGCGACCTGGTTTTCCTTTAAGAACCACGATACCATCTGCCTCCAACGCTTTTCTCTCTGCTTTTGCCAACTTTTTCTTCACATTGGCAAATCTTTCCTGAATTTTCTTTACCCATATTTGCTATTATATTAGATAAAAAATAAAAGAGGCAATAATTATTATAGATTGGAAGGCATTGGCAAATACATCCACCTGACCTGTGTGTGAAAACATTTTTGTTTAAATACTGTGGTACTGAAACTTACATGACCAGCACCAAATGATCCTTTCAGGAAAGGGTATTTCATTACAAGCTGAAGAGCAATGTGGTTTCTTTCGGCAGCAACAGGATAGGAAGTATGAGCCATTATCGAGGTGCAAAGCTGCCTTATTAAGGCATTTTTTTGCAATGGACTCAAACTGCCTTTGCTCAAACCATGTTCGATATCTGGTTCCCACTAGAGATCAATAACAAAAAACTAAATTATTCTTTAATTATACATAACAGTTTAATTATATCAAATTGTCTAGCCTCGTACACAAAGGCTCTCGATCTTCTCTCCGGCTTGAATTGAGACTCTGGTATCAGCTGATCATGTGACCTGTCATATTTTGGTGGATTTGCCAATTTGTTTTTAGGTTTAATTAGGATAGTAGGTAGATGTTGTAGTAAATATTAACAGTGTTAAAATAACATATTACAAAATAAAACGGCTACAGTTGCTATCCACTCATTAGAAACAAATAAGCAAATCACACAAAATATGATGGGAAATGTGACCAGCCCATACCAGGATATCAATTCAAGCCATGAAGGAATGCGGATTGAGAGCCTGTGTACAAAATTGTCTTATTTTCCTTTCTCCTTTTTGTCATTTGCACATTGTGCAATTTTAAAAGTAAATGCACTGGTCCTATCAAATCAAATTTTTTATGAGAGCAAATTATAATTATTTGATTTGCATACCCTTGTTGGAATGCAAAAAGTGCTTAACCAATAAGACTTTACATCAGCAACAACCTAAATGAATATTAAAAATAAAATATACATGTAAAAAAATTGAATTAAGCATGCAAAACAATATATAGAGGGCAAACTTACTCAAATATGATTAGCTGATCATGCAGGCATTTTTTAAAATGCATCCCATGCATGCAAATTCGTGGATAAATCAGCATGATACATATGTCATTTGGCGTAAAACTAAAACTCCTAAAAATCATGGCACTTAAATTCTGTGTTTGTTTGAACAAAGTTTGTTGAAATCTACCATTTCAGACTTTTCAGTGCACATGTTTTTCAGTTGGTTAAAATGACATTTAGCAGGGTTCTTCATAGCATCTTATATGTATGTTTGTGCTATATATAATATATTTATAAGGAAATTTTACCCTCTGTAGTATTAACATATTATCGCATGGGTCCTCGTAAAATTAAGGTTTAACCTCGTGTGTGCTTTCGAAGTTCATAAAGTTCATAAAACACTCATGAAATTACTGTAAACCTTAATTTCCCTCGGCCCATGCAATTACTTATACTAATATCATTTTAGTCAATTTACTCAATTCTGATGGGTTAAAAACCGGGCCAATTAAACAATAATCGCACAGGTGTGCCGACACGGGTATGAGCCCGAATGCATCAAACACAAATCCCAAAATCAACAACTTGAAAATTTACATAGTATGTTTAAATATTAATGATGAAGAAGAAATAAAGATTATTCACAGTTTTTCAATGGTATGAACTGAAAATTTATGTCACAAATTATTCTCAAAATTGACAAAGGCGCATATGGCTGTGCTCGCTTGACTACAATAATATAATGATTGTTTGTGTAAAATTGACTGTACAATGATATTAATAGGAAATTACACTTGTTCTCAATGTATTAATGAAAAATCACGCATGCAATTTTCCATTAATACTTCTCGAACAGTGTAATTTCCTAATCCAAATTAAAAGTGTTGGTCAGTCAGACATCTGTAATACATCAGTACAGGTATGACTGGACATGTAAATTCTAACAGATAGTACAATAAATAACTAATACAGAAAATATAACAAAAGCGATCGGAAAATTATGTTATCGCTGTGCAATCGAACAAGAAAATTACCTCAGAGTCAGGCTTTCTCTTTTTGGGAGAAACACTAGAAGATGGGCTGGAGCAACTAGACCTCTTGAGCTTCGCTGGACTTCTTCTCAAAAAGGAAGCGTGAAACTCGAGAGACTTCCTAGCAGGCGGAACATCACATGTATCATCACAGTCAAGTTGATGGTCAGAATGATCGTCACACTCAATCACTGAGCTTACTAATGAGATACTTTCATCACAGCTAAGTTGACTGATGGATAAAGGAGTAGATCTTTTTTCGTATATCACACTACATGTAGTTCCCTCACTTGTTGAAGGTGAACAAGCAGCAGGTACATCTAATGGGCACTTAATGCCATCGCCATCGAAAACCTGCAAATTAAAAATTTAATTGGAAACAAAGCTCATATCAATGACCATGATCATTAATTCTGTAGCAAAGCAAATACCTGCACATAGTTTTGAACAGACTTAACATAAGTTTTGAGCAAAAGCTACAAATGCAGGGATTCCTTTTATAACTACATTGCAGACCTGCCAAGTCTCACGATTTAATCGTGAGACTCACAATTTTTTATGCTTTCTCACGATCTATCGATTAAGTCCCCAAATCTCACAATTTTCGGGAAAATCTCTTCTAAAACCACAAGTAACACATCAGTGGAAAAAAGAAATATGCTATTATTTCAGGGATCGAAATTTAAATTTTTGTACTATACACCCGGAATAGTAGTTTTTATATTTACTATTCCATCTGAAGATCCACTATTCCTTAATGTATACTGTTTCTGTTCATGCAGCTAACTGTCCTGATTGGGCGTGTGTTATTCAAACTGGAGATCCGACAGGGGAAGCAATTGGAGCACCAGGTTTTGCTGACGATGATTAAAATCTGTCACGATAGACTCTTTAGTTAAAAAATACTACAAAATTATTTTATATTGACAATGAACATCCTAGAAGATACAAATAATTATGTAAAATGCGCCCTAGTAAACCGAAGGTTTAAAATTCAATTGAAATTCGTACAGTGTATTTCCGAGAAGTGTTTATTGAGTATGGGCAACTTGACTTTCGAAACCACTTGGACTTTTTGCCGTATTGGCCTTTGACGGCAAATTTGGCAATCCACCTTTCCGACTCTCTACAACACGTGTCATTCCACGTGCGTCAAATAACCGGAAATCGGACAAACAAACTCGAACAAGAATACAATTTAGTATAGCGAGAGTGACTTATCGCGTTATTTAAATGATATTAAAAGTTGGAAAAGCGATGGGATAAAGTTTAAAAGGTTGAATTTAGCTGCAGACATGTCGTACAGTAGTTCAGGCTCAAAGATGTCCGTGAGCGATCTTAGTAAAGCCTTTTAAAAGATATATTTTTCATTTATCGAGCGACTCTGACACTGTGCTTAACAATATTAAAACGACAAAGTCAAAGTATTTATAAACATGGTAAAACGATGCGCATGGGGAACTTGTAACAGTGATTCTAGATACCCGGAACGTTTAGTAAATGAAGTAGAAGGAACAACAGTTACATTTCATCATTTTCCGACGGAGATAAGGGACAAGGAACGAAGAAAAACGTGGATACGTGCGTGCTGCAGGAAAGATGGCTTCGTTTGTACAAAGGACAGTTATGTTTGTAGTCTTCATTTCGTTGACAAGAAAGGCCCCACGGAAGAATATCCCGACCCCATTTCAGCGACAGCTAGTAGAGATACGGTAAGCATATGGTCTATGGATAAGAAGTTAAATTTTTATGCAAATGTATACATTTGAATGATATGCGTTTCATCAACATATTGAACAATATTGACACCATATTGTTTTTGTTATAAATAGATCAAGCGATTGAGCAGAAAGAGGAAGCCTCCTTCGACTAGAAAAGCATGTGGTAAACGATTTAGAACAGCTCACGACAAATCAGCAGCGGAATCGCTGTTTTCTCTTTCGTCAGCTACGCCTGCTGTTGGGAAAAGTACATATGAGCTAAATGTGGCAGAAACTTTAATAAATTTAAGCAAAGATGCAGTTACACATCCTACTATAAATACAGAGTCCGAGAATACAGCCACAGAAATTATGGAAGAAGATCAACTGCAGGGCATAAAAGAAGCATCAACAGCAACCTGTGATTCCCAAGTAAGCTATAGTTAAAAAGGCTTTTAATAAATCATTTTAGGACTATATTTAATAAATAAAGTATCATATTTAAGTTTTTATCTTGATGTTTTATTAAAGACAACTGTTTCAATGGAAGATTTCAACATGTATAGTATCCTGATAGTGTGTTACTCAACAAGAAAGAAATGTCAAGGGCATTATTTTTGGAAAATGTTGAAAATCCCAAGAAGACAGTGCACTACACAGGTATGTTGTGTGACTATGGTCTACTGCCACCAAGTTCCCCCGCCTCGGAGCTCTGCATGGTGAGTTGTGTTGGTCATGTGCGCCGCCCACCCATCAATATACATTATCTAGTTGCTTGACTACTGTATTTGAATTGTAATTATTGCTGACAGTTCGTTTATCAGCATGTTATTATTCAAATTACTGTAACTCATTTTGTCTCTAATGTTTTTTTGCTTTATCATGAAAAATAGCACTCCCTCGGCCAGGGCTGGGGGAGGTATCAAGGGTTAATATTGCCTGGTCATTTATGGAATTAAATAATTTTCTCTTTTAGGTTTGGATTCAAGTGTTCTACGTGCCATACTGCCATACATAATTTGGTTTAGGAGAAGGCTTCTAGACTTCACATGTGGAAAGGTAAAAAGAAAACAAAGGAAAAATATATTGGAAAAGTATATATTGAGGTGAGCAAAGTTTTCAATGGTGACAAGGTGCCTTTCAGTCCTATTGTAATTAGTACACGTATGAAGTCATAATTTATTTTTATTTTTAGCAAAAGAAAAAATTTTCCAAATTATCCACCTGGGAACAGTTTATTATTACGCTGGTAAGATTACGCCGAAAGATCACCATTGAAACACTGGCAGATTTATTTGGAATTTCAACTGGTTCTACGAGCAGAATTATAATTACATGGATATTGTTCTTAGAAAAGGAACTATCATTCCTGCTGCATTTCCCAACTCTCTCTGAATTGGATGGTATACAGTATCCGAAAGCATTTAGAGGCATTCCTGACTTACGAGGAATTATTGACTGCACCGAGTTTTATATTGAAACACCTAACCGTTTGCCAAGCCAAAGATCTACATACAGCACATACAAATCACGGAATACCTTTAAACTACTTGTGTCCATTTCTCCTATTGCTCACTTTAATTTTGTTTCAAATTTGTTTAGTGGTAGCATAAGTGATAAGGAGATTATAAGGCAAAGTGGATTTTTAGATAAACTGCAGCCTGGTGATGCGATAATGGCTGATAAGGGATTTAACATCCAAGATCTACTAGCTTTACGGGAGACGAGATTAATTGCTCCACCCATTATGAGAAAAGGTACAGTGTCATCGAAAGCTTCGACCATCACAAGACGAATTGCCAAAAGTCCGCATCCATGTTGGAAGAGCAATTAGAAAATTAAAATGCTTTAGTATACTGAGAGGTGTAATCCCGCTTACTGTGAAACCATATGTTACTTCTATAGCTAAAGTTTGTGCAGCTCTTGTAAACTTGCAACCAAGCATCATAGAGCATAATAATGATGATGATGATGATATAGAATATATATAAAAAAGTTACTATGGTAATATTTTATATAGAAATGGACCCAATTAATATAATTTAATTAAAATTCATTAAGTTACAATTCTTAATGTTGTACTTTTCCATCGACATCGGTATTTGCAAATGACGCCTCAAAGATGTTCTCTTTTGTTCAGCTTCATTAGGGCTGAACCAGTCATGCACATTTTCACAGTAACCATCAGGGCTTGATTCATAATTTCTAAGTCCTAATGAAAATTTAAACAGTTACAAAAGACACTTTTGAGAGCTCTCCCTTAGTAAATCATACTGTACCTGCAGAAAAAGTTGCAGAAAAAAGTATATGTAGAATCCGCAGTTATTGCTATAAAATGGTTGCTGTGGTACCTGCAAATAGAATATAACATAAAATTTATACCAAATTAATAATTATGACAATGATCAAGTACCTTCAATATTTTATGTGAAATCATCTGACGCTTTTGTGGAAGATGAAACTTGACATTCAGATGTTGCAGGAAACTAATAAGACCAACATAATGAATAAGAAAAATGGTATGAAAAACAATTAGTTCAGAAATTAATTCAGTACCTTACAATGGTGGTTATTTCATGTCCCCTGATGTTTATATCCCATGTCAGTGAATCCATTATTAAAATGTGCCATGGGGTTATAGCAGCCAACAACCAGTGATGACTATAAATGAAATAAAATCCAATAATATAAGAAAATAAATAGGAATTAATCCAAAATCTTAAATCTATAAGAAATGAAGATTGTGCAATCAAATGTAGCTTTTACTTTCTGTTTATTGGAATGAACAGGTAGTCTTGGTCAAGCATATCTGGTTTGATGAACATTTCTGCTCTTTCATTTCTTTCATTTCTAAGAAAAGATTGATTCACAATATATTATATGCAATACTACATAATGTAACCATAATATATAAAGTACAACTGATATTTTGGTTGAGCAATAATCTATCAACTTAACCTATTACACTGATAATGTAAATTGTTCTTTGCTTTTCACCTTTTTGCTCCCCACAAAGGACTGTGTAAACATATGTGCTTACAATGGGAAACTGGCAACACAATTCCCTAAAGAGAAATTTGTATGACAACATTGTAAATAAATTTTCAATGTCTGTTAAAATTACCAATTAATACCGGTGAGTTTATTTTGTCTTGAACTTCAAGTCATGGGGAAAATATATTGGTCAGCAGACATTAGGTGATTTGTTACATGCTAAGTTACTTACTCCATTAAAATAGAAACAATGTTGTCATTAATCATTGTTTGAGGTAGGAGGCCATCGACACATGATTGGTATATGGTGATTCCATTCAGCTTAATTGATGGAATTCCATCACTGCCCATCAGTTCACCATCACTGGGTATCACTATTGGTGTACCTGTACTTGTTGGTAACTTGGGTGTTGAAACAAATGGAGCACAGGGTGACAGCTCACTAACAGGAGGTTTAACAACATCTGGTTCAATATCTTTATTCCCTATAAAAAGATCATAGTTTACAATGAAAACTTGTATATCCAAACATGTTCCAGACGAACAACAAAATTGCTGCAACTTGCAACATCAGGGCATGTTGATTAGAAATATTAGCAACACCCAAGACAATAATCAACCAGCAATCTTGTTGCTCGTGGTAACATCACCTTAAGGGCAGTTAATTTATATGGCCCCCCAAATTTAACCTTGTCAACCCATTGAGTCACATTGCACCCTGATGCGCTCTACCTTATTATTTTACTCTGTCTAATATCAGACTATTTTTACTCTGTCTAACACCAGATGATTTTACTCATCAAGGGGAGAGCGCTGGCGCTTAATGGGTTAAAGGGTTTATAAGTATATACAGATTACAGACACACAATTTTAATTAGTTTCCTACCTTTATGTGCATTGCTCAGCCTGTTTGTCATGACTGGTAACACATGGTGCATCCAAAATCTTTCAAGCTTTGCAAGAGCATTTTCCATACAGGTTTCATCATATGGTATAGAAACAGACAGGATACCATGTTCAGTCCATACTACAAAGTCGCAACTATCCAATTCTGTTACAAACATCTCTAATTGAACTTGCATGTAATATCGACTACCACTCTTCAGTGTAAATGTGTTTCCATTTATCTCGCCTCCAATTTCTGGAGATAGAAATGCTTCTTTAGGTGGAATATGTCGATGCTTCCAAGGACATTTATATTCCACAACAACATCAGGGCAATTATCTTCACAACTACATGTACGAATGTTGTCAACACTAGCTCCGACAAAGGGCTTTTTTCTTGAAGGCAAAAATCCTTTAGAAAGAAGGGACAGCTTGTGGTGTTTTTTGCATTCAACTTTGTAATAACTGAGGCGCGCACTGTCTTCATGCTTCAAGCCCCAATCTCTGGGATTTTGAGGATTTTCATTAACAGTTAAGTTGGAAGAACAGGCTTGCTGGCATGTTATTTTTTTAACTAATGATGATACCTTTCTTTCTAACCCTTTATCCAAACTGTTCTGCATATTCACAGATTGTTGTGCTATGGATCCAGTGATGAAGCCTGATTTGTGTTTATACCATTCCTTCGATTTCCATTGTTTCACTGTTGACTTACTGACAGTGTCTATTTCCTCCTGGGTGTAAGTCAAGTCAGCAAGAATGTCAACAGAAGATTCATTGAGAAAGTTACCACCAGCTCTCTTGTCACATACATGTCGCAACTTCTGCTCCATGATACCATACATTTCTTCCGATTTAATCGGGGGGTTTTCAGACTTTAGACTATTTATTGAAGTGTTACCACTAGGTGAGTTTTGAGGTTGGCTGTACAGCTTGGTGAGTAGGGGTAAAATGGTTGGTCTCATACCAGTTTTCTCCAACGATTGTGTGAACGTTTGTATGGCATCATTTGTTGGTAAATCTCGGTCATTTTCATGCCTGACATCAACATCGATGTGTTCGCAGTAGACGTGTTCATTCTTATGTTTTTTTAGCGGCTGCTCGCATTTTCCAATTTCCAGGTCCTTAACATCACATGGTCTGCTGTCTGTTGTCGGTTTCTTTGTCCATGTACATGGTACGTTGGTTGGACTGTCGTTGTCACGCGTGTTCAATAAGTCTTCCAACGAATACATGAGAGCAGCAATGTGTTTGCAGCCTCCGTCACGGCCATCTTTACATCGTCATCTCGCTTTCAACACACTGCCTCGATTAGCCCCTTTGCCTACTAGCATAAACCAACAATCGTAAAATAACTTTCCCTCATCTGTCTTCTCTTTCATGGCGGGTTTCACCTTACCCATGTACAGATGAACTCCTTCTTTTGACATTGTCTCCGTTAGAAGTGATTCAAATATCCATCTTGGAACAACCGATATTCATCAAAGGCTCTGTAAGCTGCTAAACCTTGTTTATCATAATCGCATGAATGAAAGATCAAATAGTTAAAAATATCATACAATCCAAACGGAGGTGAATCGACAAAGTTATTCACGAGATTATGCGATGCGGAAAACGGATCACTGATTTCCATATCATGAATAATAAAATTATGTATGTCTTGATTGATATTTCCCTTTTCAAATTCAATAACAACGGGAAGCATCATTTTTGCAACCACGTTGGCAATTTCGATCAAAGCTGGTTTTAAGTAGCCATTCACACTTACGCCGCGTTCGCGAAGATAGGTTTTAAGATCGTTCACGGTCATGTTTTCGAACATCTTTGAGCCTGAACTACTGTACGACATGTCTGCAGCTAAATTCAACCTTTTAAACTTTATCCCATCGCTTTTCCAACTTTTAATATCATTTAAATAACGCGATAAGTCACTCTCGCTATACTAAATTGTGTTCTTGTTCGAGTTTGGTTGTCCGATTTCCGGTTATTTGACGCACGTGGAATGACACGTGTTGCAGAGAGTCGGAAAGGTGGATTGAAACAACTATAAAATCTACAGTAACTTTATAAAACCGTAGATGTTTCATCACGGAACAAATCAATGCGATGCATATAAATCTCCTGTTGCGTTTAATAAATTGCGCCTGAATGACAATCAAAAACTGCAAAAGCTCGCGTTTAGTGGTTTCGCTTCAGAGTTTAAGCGTACTGCAATGCACATCAAATTATTGGGTACTTGACGATCTGGCCAGATTGACTACTTATCATACTCCAAACTATACCTAAGTATTTGAATTAAGTATTAAACCTATATAACTGGCACTTCTATACGGTTTGTTGTTAAGGTATGTAGAGCGCGTTATGCACTCTATTAATTAAGACATGCATGCATGCTTGCAGTGTATATCTCTTTTATGTCCTGAGAAGGCGCTTTATTCTGTGATGCAGTAAATATATGGCGTATTTACTCCGAACTCAATGTTCAGTGGCATTGTTTACTGGTCTCCAGACGCGCAATGTATTTTGAAAATATATTTGCTATGGCGCGTCTGGAGATGAACTGAACTGTAATTTAGATGTTAAAAACACCATAATTATTCACTGTACACCAAAGAAAAAATCGCCTCATGCAATAATATTAGTAGGAATGTATACAGGTACCTATCATTACTGTACATTACGACTTATATATTTATTTAAATAAACATTAGTTTCATTTTGTAAATACACGGGTATATAGGTGGAAATATAAATGGGATTTTTTCATATTGAACGTGTGTTGTTTGCATTTGTTTGACTAGCTAGCTAGCTATATGTGTAGACTGTAGTGAATATAATCATTAGAAATTATATTTTTGTTGCGAGTTGAGCTTGTAATTGCATGGAATTCAGTTTTTTTCGTGTATTTACATGGAATAGGTTTTATATATAAGTAAGTATACAAGTAAGAGCCAGCTAACGAATAAAGAAAAGCTGCATTAGTGCGAATATAATAGGTTAATTAAAGATAGTTAAATTTGCATTTACGCAAGGTTTAATCAATATTTTAAGGCGATTAATTTATACTTATCTCATCCTTTATCGGCTTTAAACAATGGATTAAAGTTACTTTTAATACTCTTTAACCAACGAAAACATTTATGATTAAATTCGCCTTTAGTCAAATACGTCACAGATATTAAAGGCGAATATACGTTCCCTTAAACCGCATTAATCTGTATTTCAAACACTCATTAATAATTCATAAGCTTATTGGCAAATCATGTCAACTATAATATGTCACGTGCAGTGGCTTTAAACCTAACAAGACGCCGACTCGGCGTTAACCTCGGGTCGGTGGATAGGGGATCGTCTGGTAAATATCCAAAAATTGTGTAAATCACGATAGTTTAATAGTTCACTAGTATAAATGGTGAATCAGTTAATCAAAGCTCCGTTTTAATATTTTATTGATAATAATTACTGGCCCTCATCAAACCTATTGTTTTCTCTCTGCATTATATCAGCGAATGTCGAGAAGTTTTCATTTAACGTTCTACTGAAAAACAGGAGCGGCCTTTTTGGTTGTATAGGGAAATTCCGGCTCAGGAGTAAATGTTTATACGCGTCATATTCTATGTACGCGTTAAAATAGCACACAACATTATTAAAAATAATGCAGCGTGCATCAGTGCACACAGACATTATTAGCAATAATGCATCTTCGTCACCCTGACATGTACACGCGATAACGTGAACATCCCAAGATGAGAAGGTGACAGTGCTAAAGGCCCCCCATACGGTGTCGTCGGGTGCCTGAAGCACTGTTGGACACGGTCGCTGTGAGTCTTTTCAGTTCAATTTTATAGAGAAATAGTTACGTTTGCGCTTGTGGGATTTTATCCTAGATATACGCATGTGCAGAATACACCATAAGTTCTATTCCCGTGTTTATCCAATGCTATTTGAGTAAACCTTATCATTAATGATAATATGTAAACTAGAACACTATAATTGACCTCCGCTTGTGGAGATTTTAATTTAGGGCGATTAATTAAACTGAAATCTGTTCTATCACAATGCACTACAGTGCCTATGGTTATGTCTATATGCATGTCAAATGTCTAGTGTAACGTTGGATAGGTTCATTGTCATACGGTCCCGACAAGCAGCAACGTACAGTAGTCTTCCAGCCGAAAATAATTACTTTTGATTCGGGTCAGTAATTATAATAGATAACAAGTGAAAGTTGGCCGCGGTATTCCCATGCTATGCATACGATGTATTGTGTATTATATCAACATATACTCGAGAATAGTTATCCAGCTAAACATGTATGTCAAAATTATCACATCTTCTGGTTTATCAAATTATCACATCTTCGGATTTTGTGCAAGGACAGCTTCGGGTTCCGTTTCGCTTTGGCCGATGCTTGTCGAAAGTACACTTATTTACCGGAAGTTGTCGTCTCCTCCGCAGGCCCTTCGATCTTCGACTACGCGCGCGGCTCGACACAAATGAAAAACAAGAAAAAAAATAGGAGCCGAATTTAAGACCTCGGTGTCGTACCGACCCGAGGTAATAAACATACACTACCATATTACATGATAATGATATTTTGTGCGTTCATAACTGCTATAGAGCACTCGATATCGTAAATATATTGCAACTAATAGTAGTTTCGGTTACATATAATTAAGTTGCACTGCAGTCTGTTTTATCCGATAAGGAATCTGCACCTGGATGCAACAAGCTGTAGTAGCAACTTTTAGGCAAGCTAGACCATGTACTGTATATGGCCCTTATCTTTAAGATATATGTATATGATAAACAGCTAGAAGGAAGAATTTATGTCAGATAAGAACGACCCGAGCATCCGAGGGCATTATATACTGTATATCACATAAGGCTCTTTCTCGGTTTTGTCATATTTAATTCATGATTGAGGAGGTTTTCCTACAAAATTTTATCAGTTTCGCCTGCTTTGAACGACGATTTTCTGAGTTTTCTTTCATCTTTTTACGGCTAATTAATATTCAAGGTGATTATTAAAAATAATCACCTCGGTACATCAAACTGAAAACCGACTCAATCATGAATTAAGTACTATTTAATAAATGAGCAGGAGTGTTTTAATTAGGTTTAAAATCACGAGCGTGCAGCGCAAGTGACTTTAGACCTAATATAAAACACGACCTGCGAGTGGCTTTAGACCTAATATAAAACACGACCTGTTCTTTATATAAAGAATACTAACGAGGACACAAGCACAATAGATACTGCCTTATTACTATTTTTTATATAAAGAATACTAATTAGGAGTGTTTTATCAGGTTTAAAGCCACTGCACTTGACATATTATGGTTGACATGATTTGTTTGAAGACGTAATGAGCATATTAAATATATTTGTGTATTAAAATAATGTAGATATTATGAAAGTAAATCTGTTGGATATGAAGTTATGTAGCTATATATATGCAGAGCCCCGCTGTTTCAAACAGCAAAGGGAAAAAAGGTTTGACATGCATGTAACGGCTTTCGAGTGTATTTAATTGGATCGAGTTTTGAAGAGCTTTTATTCGGGTTTATATACAGTATAAAGAGTACGCAAAAATGCAAGTAGGAAGAACTATAAGGCGGGTCAAAAGTCCCCAAGAGAGTCGCCGAACAGCACATTGGGTGTCGTTTTGAGGGGTCTTGTTTTGACTCTATTGAATATACAGTAATGCATCATGTATGCACGCTTTAATTAAATGTTAACTTCGCTCAAACTTTTTTAAAAAATTTCAAAGGCAGACTCGGAACAAGTAGCCCGATCAGCGTCAAATAAGGAAATAATGTAAAGTTAAATTAACGTGTTGGTGGCTTATTTATAATGACCCATTGAATCATTGATACGACTTTTATAGTATGAATTAGACTGACTTTAGCATAAGCATAATAAATATGCTAACGAACAACTATTAGTAGAAATGCCCACGGGACATTAAATAGCTCAACCGCATACAATATTTGTCCTGTATTATTTCCTCTGCCATTTCCAATTATATAAATTAAGTTAAAAAGACAACTGGTGTAAAAACAACAGCAAGTCTATTGTACGCATGACTAACGATTTATTATTTTTCATAAGAAAAATCACAACAAAAACGTTCACATTTTTTCAATTAAATACAGTCTATTTAACAATTGTGCTCAGTAGGTATCAGCTTACAGTCGACTTCATGCAGTTCACAAAACTTTGACCACAAATGTTCTGAACTTCGTTGCGAAGTTCGTTACGAAGTTCAAAAGTTCATAATGAGATTCACAAACCAGTTTGTAAACTATACGCATCTGATTGCATGGCTTCTTTTACTTCAGGGACCAATCAGGGACTTTGCTTACAAATTGGCTTGTGCATGAATTCCAATATGAACTTGCGAACTTCGCAACGAAGAACATTTGTGGTCAAAGTTTCGTGAAATCGACTGTAAACTGAAGTGCATTCTCTATTATATTCTGTTTTAAGTCATTGTTTACGCTTCAGAATCAAATATTGTACAGTACGTGCATAATTATCTTTCCTAATAAAAACGAATTCAGTCCATAAGGTTCGAAATAGTGTGGAGTTTGGTATAGCCTGGCTTTCCTATGGCCGTAATGTTCATAAAAAGAGTCATGATCTTTCTTAACGGCCAGTTTGTAATAGTTTGCACCTGTAAACCTGTCTCGTCCGCAGGCGCTAATAAAAAAATTTCATGCGCGTCACTATATGAAAGGTTTATATGAAGTAGTGCATCGCGACGAACAAGCGCAGGGAGTTAAGCCGGTTTTCCACTTCAAGCGGACCGTACCGAAACGTATCAAAAAGTTTTTAAATTTCAAAATATCGTGAATGTTGATTGGTTAATTAGTACTTCCGTAGTACGCCAAAAAGTTGACTTGCGACGAACTATTTATTTTGATACGCGAATACACCCGGAAGTACGTGGATTTATAAACCTCTTTTCAATCTGCGCATGCTCACCAGTACGTTTCGCTACGATACGGGCGAAGTGGAAAACCGGCTTTATGGGCTTGAGGTATCGAAAATTGAGGAGCGCCTGGGAGATCTTGTGCCGTTTCTTGCAAAATTCGTCTGTTTCTTGCAAATCGTGGTTTTTTCGACAGTTTGGGGCTTTTTTCGCCATTTTTTTCGAGGAAACAACATTTCAAATTATTCAATTAAACATGTGATTACAGTCAGATGATATTTGATATCATTTAACGCTTTAAATGATTCCAAGATGTCAACACTTGAAGAGTTCAATGAGGCTATAGAAGCCGGTTTATACAATAAATTTACAAGGTATGGAAAAATGACAGTGCATTTTTATCACAATGAGCAATTTATTTTAAAAATATACAACTACAAGAAGTTTTTTGAACAAGGGAGTGATGAAACTTTCTTTTGTATTGCATTTGCAAGATTCGGCTCAGGATCGCAGTTACGAGCTTATTTACATGCAGTATGTTTGATTTTCACGATCGGTGCAAAAGATCAACAATATTTTGAATAATTCGGGTAAGGATAGCTTTAAGGATTTATATTTAGATCTGTTGTTTACTTGTATGTTCGACAGCTATTATACAAGATCGGCCAGGCGCTAACCAGAACGCTCATATCCCACTCCCCTTTGCGCGCCTATAATGTGATGCACTACTTCATGTAAACCTTCATATAGTGACTCGCATGAAATTTTATTATTAGCGCCTGGGGACGAGGCAGCCTGTAAACCACATATAAATCATAAGTGTTCTCAAGTTATAATCACTCCTGGAACTTTCAGTTCTAAAATGTTGTATTTCGGTTGATGAGGAAGATCGTGACTCAATCTTTACTACCGTTACGACCATATGGAAACCAGGCTTATACGTTTGGTATAAGGCAAGTTAATTAAATAATAACTGATTAATTAATATGGGCGAGATAAAGAGTGCCTTATAGTTAATATTTTTTCTAAACAGCGTGTCAAATAAGGGCATAAGGCTAGCCTTAATGTCTACTCTGAAGAGAATGGATGATGCGGCTGCATGTATGGTTGTTTGTCTTTTTTGTTTCTATAGAATTAGCATCACAGTGCTATGTTAGAATTAGCATCTATAGAATTAGCATCACAGTGTTTAAGTGCCAGTTTTGAAGTCATGCATGCAGTAATCATGCTGTTAAGGCCCACTTGATGAATTATAATTTATTCATTGCCTGTGCATAAATGCACGTTCTAGTATGTGGAAGAGGAGAAGTGGAAATAGGGCTCTGCCGATTTTGCGTGTAAATTCTGTTGAGCATGCTCTTGGGGTGAAAACCAGTAAATTGAATATCTTTTTCTTGAAGCCAAATCTGACCACCAGAGTGACCAGACGCGTGTTTATGCCTCGCGATTCTCTCGTGATATCAGTTTAGGGAGCGAGCATGCCGTTTTAATACGAAGTTTCACCTGAATAAATACATTAATAGAACGTTGTTCGAATGCTGTTTTCCAGAATACATCTTCATGTTGACGGATTGACCGTACTCTTCGCATGCGTGAAAAGACTAGCATGGTTTTCAAATTTGCTACATTCATTTCCCTGTCAAAACAGAATCATTTGTATTTTTGGAATGTATTCTTCCCGTTCGTTCGTTTTGGCTTGTTTTGTCGCGTGCACTGTACGTGCTGACACAATTACAACAATAACAACTCAAAAACATTTTCAAATGTTTAATTTAATAAAATATAGTGCGACACTGTGTGAAACAAACCATTGCTATATATTTTAACAATTGCTAACACTATGCTATAGTTTATTTTACCTGAATGCTTACAATAGGCAATTCCCATTATATAGCTAAGCATCATGGGAAATGTTGTAGGCTTCATGCACGCGAAGTGGCCGCCGCAAAGCGAGCATTTTGCATGCGAGAGAAATTGCTTTATTAAAGTACATTTTTCCAGAGTATTATAGTTTAAATAAAAGTAATGTGTTTGTAATACATTGAAGTATATTGTGGACGAAGTATATCGAAATCGAAGAGAAAACGGACGAAAGAATTGGTGTTGAACAGGCGAGGAGCGAAGAATGGCCTCGCAAATCCTCCGAGAGGAAAGTTCAAGTCTACATTCTAAGGTGAGTACCCTTGGTAGACATCGGACTCCTCGCCATTTTTCACTACAAATACGTGTGAGTTGTTGTTCGATTTATATCTCGATTTTCTCAACGATCGAGCGTTATCTCGCGATTTTTTCGCTTCTTGAAACTTTCAAATTCGGCCAATGATGTCTTTCGTGCGTTTGATAAGCATGGCCTCCAAAAGCAGTCTTTTAAAAAAGCCTTGAAAATGTTTTGGCGCGAAAGAAAACCAATCTAAACCGTTTTTTTCTTCCCCACCCTGGTACGTTGCGAAAAGCTTAAAAAGAAATAATTTTACCGCTGTTTCTGCCGTTTATAATAATTTCTGCTTCCTTTGTTGTGGTCGGTTGATTTCCTATCAAAATAAACAAGTAGGTTCTAGCTAGTTAATTTTAAATATATTAAATTTACCTCTTTTAACTTTGTTAAAACTGTCAGTTAAAATTTGCATAATTTTATGCTTAGTTAAATACAAATTTAAAGTTATTTAAAGCATTCTAGTTTAATTTTTTTCATAATTATAAAGGTGCAGGCAGTTTAGTGGACTAGAATATAAATATATTAATATTTTAAAACAAAGAGTAGGCTTTGTGGCAGGTCCTAAAAATTAAATTTCTACATAGTTAATTTTAAAACTGTTAGGATGTGTTTAAGTTAAATTAAATATTATGGATAATGAACCAGGAACTTCAATAGAGGCAGATACAAATTTGGCAGTAGACCTAGAAACTACATGTTCTAAGAAAAAGCAAATGGTCGTGGTGGAACAACTTGTTGTATTCCCAAATGTGATAGCAATACTAAAACAATCCTGAGCTATCATTTTATCAAATTCCAACTGATATAAAGCTGAGAAATATGTGGTTACACTGGATTGGCCGAGCAAGCTTTTATCCTAACAAGTGCCACCGAGTTTGTTCAAAACTTTTTGTGGGTGGCAAGAAGATTTGTCTTCGCAATGTTCAAACAGTTACTGCCTACACAAACAAAGCCCAGAACAACATTTAAGTGTGTAAATAGAAGAGACCCAAATGAGGATAGACGCATAATAAATGAACAGGCAGAACAGCTAACATCTTCAAGAAATAAAATTTCAAAACTTGAACATGTATAGTTGAGATTCTTGAGCAGAAAAACCAAGAATATGAAGAGGAAATTTCAAATCTAATGGAAAAGGTTCAGCAATGTGATTTTTCAACAGATCAATAGTTACATATAGTGGTATGATCTATACAAGATCATATCACTATTACATAACCAAGTAATAGATCCTTTCTTCACATTTGGCTTGACCACAAGTTGCCTTGGATAACCGGCCTTGAAAAGTCTATCCACTTTTTTTATGATTTTTTTCTGTGTTGGTGCATTTCATCATTCACTTTT